TGATATTTACATCATACCCTGTTCACTTCCAATTTGTGACTGCCATGTCATAAAAGAAAAATATTTTAGAATTTGTCAGTCTAATCTTTTTGTTTTGGATTGGATCAATGTCCAAAATTAATTTACTGTACATAGTCACCTTGGAGATCTATGAACTAGACACAGGATATTTATTATCAGGTTATTTCATATTTACAATTTTCTTATATGTACCGTCGGCAATAACTACGTATAGAAGAAAAATATTTTTGAATCTTCAGTCAACTGATTCCTTGTACTATTAACATGTAATAAATAGTCTAGCTGTTATATATGTCCTAAACTCTATCTACACCATACTGAATATGGTAGGTAATCATGAGTTTTTAAAATGTGCCAGATAGCTTTAAACATGCAAAGTTTATGCATTGTTTATATAAACTCAGACTTGTGTTTTTTGCTTTGATTACATATAAATATTACATTTATATTCTGAAATGGCTCCTGGAATATTGATACTCCGGAGAATTTCAGTAATTACCTGATAATTTCTGAGCATGATTTGACCATAGGTTAATTCATTAAATGTAGTAGATATAAAGTATCCTTGTAGATTGAATAGATATTTACATTGTGTCCCATTGGTTATTAGTAATGTGAGAATAATTTACCAGCAATTGGCAGAGAAAGTTAAAAGAGTACGTTCTCACATGACAGGTGGTGGCACGTCGTCTGCCCCCAACCATGACAGAGGAAGAATTTTTGGAGGCTGTGTCACCACTTGCAGAGTACGATTATTTCAGCTTCGTCCCTGCTGACAAGAGTCTTGGGGCTCATGCTTTCTCTCGAGCTTACATTAATTTTAAAAACACGGACGATGTTTTCACCTTTCGAGACAGGTTCGACAGCTATGTGTTTGTCGATAAGAAAGGTATATTATGGATTCTTGTCTGTGTAATATTGAAATGTAATTCTTTTGTTTGTACTTGATATTATTAATGCAAATTATACAGAATATTATCTTAGTTGGATAATTTATTTATTTTGTCCAAGTAACACCTTAAAAATTGTATTATTTGACAGGTAATGAATACCCAGCCATGGTGGAATATGCCCCATTCCAGAAGATACCAAAAAGAACAGGAAACAAAAAGAAGGATATACGAGCGGGGACCATAGACCAGGACCCAGACTTTATGGCATTCCTGGAATCACTTGAAAAGCCAGAGACAGTCCAGCTTCCAACACTAGAGGTGGTTTTGGAAGAGATACAAGCCCATGAACGGGAGTTGAAAGGTATAAATGGATAGATGTGCTTGCCTTAGTTTCTTCTTTAATTATAAGGTTATCTTTATTTTTTCATTGGCCATGAGGAGACTAATGATCTGTGGATCTTAGTTTGTATATTGCTTAAGTTTTATTAAAGAGAAAAGCTTAGCATCTCTAGTAACACAAAGCAGAATGAGGATGTTTATTAACCCATCCATGATAGAATGACATCCTTTCATATTAACTATCCATCACTTCTTCTTTTTCTTCATTATTATGATTATTGATATGGTCATCAATGTCATTATTATTATTATTGTTGTTGTTATTATTTTTATTATTATTATTATTATTATTGTTGTTGCTGTTGTTGTTGTTTTGTTATTATTATTATTACTACTACTACCACTACTACTACTACTACTACTACTACTACTACTACTACTACTACTACTACTACTACTACTACTACTACTACTACTACTACTACTACTACTACTACTACTACTATTACTACTACTACTACTACTACTACTACTATTACTACTATTACTACTACTACAACTACTACTATTACTATTATTGTTATTACTACTCTCATTCATATTAACTTTGTTTATAATAAGACACATTTTCCTTGACTTATTTAATGGTATTTATTTCTTAATATTTTCCAGCCAACAACGGAATCATAAAGGTGAAGACTCCCCTACTTGAGTTCATTGAACAGAAAAAAGCGGAGAAGTTACGAACAAAAGAGGAAAGGCGAGAGGAAAGGAGGAGGAAGGAATTTGAGAGGAAGAAAGCTCGGGAGGAAGAGAAGAAGAAGCGGAAGGACTTCAGGGACCACAGAGAGGTTAAGAAAGAGGAAGTGAGAGAGGTGAAAGAGGACGGCTCCGTGAAAGTAAGAGAAGTAAGTGATTATCGTGTTGTTGGTGTCAGAGAAATGCCTTTTTTTCTTTTTCTTTTTCTTTTTCTTTTTCTTTTTCTTTTCTTTTTCTTTTTCTTTTCTTTTCTTTTCTTTTCTTTTCTTTTCTTTTCTTTTCTTTTCTTTTCTTTTCTTTTCTTTTCTTTTCTTTTCTTTTCTTTTCTTTTCTTTTCTTTTCTTTCTTCTTCTTCTTCTTCTTCTTCTTCTTCTTCTTCTTCTTCTTCTTCTTCTTTTATCTTCTTTTTTTGATGATAATTGTATTTTTTTCCTAGCTATTGTGTTCTCTTTTATTGTTATTAATGTCTTCATTATGATTAATGAACC